CGCGTCGATAGGAACGTTTGACGTAGACATCGTAGTCGCCGCGTTTAACTTATGCAACAAAAATGAATGTGAAATATTTTCCATATTTGGAAGATTCCGATCTTTGACGTCTATAGCCATTCGTTCTTTGCACTGCATCGGACGATAATAAAGGCAAATTGATAAAGTAATTGGAAGACTATGTACGCTATCACCTTTGATGACGTCTTTGGAAAGTTTGACGTCTTCTGTTTGTTTACAGACTTTACTTTATTTATCTTAATGTTCAATTAAGCCGTTATAACTAGCGACTTTGATTTTTATGAAACAGAGACTCTTCTCTTTGTTGTGGTTGTAATTTTCGGATAGATCCAGTTTATTCTGTATCCTATTTATTGATACCGTTTGATAGATCTCATACATAAAGCACTTTCAGGATCAGTAACTAGTTTTTTGATATCTTGTATAGTTTAGAAATAATCGAGTGAGATCACTTATCGTTTCCACCCTGTATATTATTTACTTTCATAGCTATTCATATTAAACACAACCTTTTGACATTGTCTAGTAGTTGTACAGCAATCAGTCTTTGGATCGTCCTTGCCTCCAGAATTGAGCATAATAATTGAAAGATCGTCCACTGTCACGCGGCGGGCGGGTGACCGCGGAATGCAGCTGCCATCCGATTGATTCCTAGTCGCTATGCCGGCTGGCTTTAGGGTTTCAGTGTGGAGTATTAAAATCCTTTGAGCGTCTTCTGTTTTTGTCGTACTGGTTGCTGCAACTTAAGTCACATCTTTAGTTTCAGACTTATTGAAACTTTTTTGAGGTAAGTCCTGTGCCTTTGTTTTGTGTCGTCGTTTTGAAGATTTGTGTGGTAATTTGACACAATAAAAATATGTTTGGAGTCTTAAAAGATGTAAATTAACTTGGCCAGCTTAAAAATTGGATGGTTTTTACTTACGCGTAACATACTTACTCTATACGATAGCAATAAAGCAAAATACTATAGGTTTATTTTTATTTTTGGGGAACTTTCGAGTAGAGAAATATATGTATAAGAAGGTACTATGACGAATTCGACACAATCTGTCTACAGAACTTTGCCATTCATGTAAATAGTTGCGCTTGACCAATTCCTAGCATCACCATTAACTTGTTGACTCACAGCAATACATATTCCATATAGTTTCTATATCGCAGCGACACTGTCCACTGACTTCTAACCTCAAATTGTCAGCTTGTTTGCTGACTCACTAATCGCAGTATAAGTGATCCAAGGTTGATCCTAGTGATATCTATTTTAGAGCTATCTATTTGGGAAAGTTTCCATTACTTTGACAGATTATTATAGTATTTTTATTTTTAAAATAAAATGACCAGACTAAACTTGTACCCTTTTAGAGGCGATAATAGACCAATGGTGTCAGTGTCAGGTCAGATCCGAGGAACGCGGGTTCGAATCCCGCTGCGCATTTGGACTTTTGCGGGGAACCCCCTCGTAACTCGGTACACTCGATTTTGGGAGAAGACAATCTACTATGCAACTGTTGTAATCACTTGTTCATTTTTCACAATTTTTAGCATTGGAAGACGTTTCAGTTTATCAAATTTACGATTTTTTTAACTTTCTCGTGTTATCTACTCGTGCAAAGTGTTAGTATTTTATTTAAAGCTTAGTTATCTATTTGCATATTAGCTGTCTGAATTTCGGAATTCCGCCTATATCACAACTCATAAAAGTATTATCGCATTATTAAACGCGTGAACCACGCCTTAATTTACGACTCGGAACCAAAATCGATGGCTCCTACGTATAAGGGCGAAACTGCCGCTTACGCCTTTTTCCAATTATTTAAGCAATGATTTCACTTTGCTCTAATCTATAACATCAGTAAGAAAAAATTTTTTTTTTCCATTAGATACAAAATAAAATTTTAGGCAAATAGGCGTATGTGGAAAACTACGCCACGTATAAAGCCCAATCATACGATTCGTCAATCTATACGAGTAGTTGCTTACATAAACATATATTTTTTATAATCCAAATCTTAAATAAAGCCATGAAAATATTTAGCAAATTGTTTTATTTATAAATTATGACACATTATATAGTTATTTAATTTTTAGCGTTAAGAGTCGCATCTCAAACTAATTTGAAAATTATAAATAACTTGAAAAAATCGAACTGCCTAAGGCATCGTGGGTTCAATTCCCGCCTTAGGCAATTCGATTTTTTCAAGTTATTTATATTTTTTAAAAATATGACACATTATGTTAAAAGACCTAACTAAATCTCGAGCACAGAATATGGGCGTATTTGCGTTAAAACGTAAAACGGTACATTAAACGACTTTTTCTAACTGATTTATTATTGATATAGCACATGATAACAATTAAAATAATTACATGCATAAATAAAGAGAGTAATCGCTTAAAATATTATATTTACGTTGTCATTTAAGTCTATTTACGTTGAACAATATACATGAAATTATAGTAATATGCCGACGTAAAAGGGCAATGCGTAAAATCTCAAAATATATAAGAAAATTATAAAAATTGATAACAGCAGTAGCAAAAGCATTACATGTTAAGGCTAAATGTGAAATTTCATTAAATTCGTTTTAGTAGGTCAGAAGATATGACCCAAAAATATGGTTCTGGCCACTAAAATGGCTCTCCTGTAAAATTTACTTTTTTCACTTACGCCAGTATACGTAGGAGCCATCGAAATCGCAATGCAGTAAATTTTTATCGTATTTTATCGGATGCCTTTGTACCGATCGATGATTAATTTCGTCATCGGTAATCGGTAGCTGATCGTGGCGAATAGTTGGGCGGTGACTAATTTGTTTTACATTGACGATTTGCTTTTTGGCATTGACGGTAGTTACATAAGTCACTAAATGGCGCAAAACAAGGTCTTGTTTTGTCTTATGGTGGTACTTTTCAATTACTTATTTTTTTTCCTTTACTTTAGTTGGATAATTTGTCTTTTGAAGTAACCTTTTGTCTCTTATAGTCTTAGTTAATTTTCATTTAATTTTATCATCAGTCGATTTCTAGAAATAAGTCGATTGTTTTTATTCTAAGTGTTCCAAGTTCTAGAGTTGTAGGCTAGTCATATTAGTCTGTTCCAAATAGATTTTGACTTTATAATCACCATTTTTTGTATTTGTTATATCTCTATTAACTTCTCTATCTTCCATTAAATTACAAAATGTACTTACTACAATATTCTCTGTATCTTTTCCGTCTGCCATGCTTGCCTAATCGTCCAACCTTGGCGTGCTTGGCATACCACGATGACATTAACCACTACGCTCCTGAGCCCATTCAAAACATTTGTATGGACAATTCGAGCAATTAGGCAATGTAGGATAATACGGTTAGTTAGAGCATTTACCTCAAAGCTGGTTTTATTAAAGTAGCAGTCTGTTATTTTGTATGATTCTGTTCGAAACTAGTATTTGACAATAGTGTTGATTGGGTTGAATTTTATTTGTTGCAAAATCGTTACAGCACATTAATGTAATCAAATCTATTAAGTGACAGTCAAGTAACTAGGTACCAGATATTTAGAAGTGAGGAGAGGCCTTTGTCCAGAAGTGGACGTCATTTTAGCTGAAACGATCCAACAAACGCAAAAGTGGTTCTTTAAGAATCAGTGAAATAATTTTCATAATCAATCTAAAGCTCTACAACAATAGAAAGCGTATAAAATTGTATAACTAAAGAAAGTTCTCAAGGTAAACAAAAGCTAACTTGCGATCCAACATGCCCAAACTTGGACGCCTGATACAAAGCATGTCAGTGCGTAGGCGCTTTAGCATAAAACTCGCGTTAGGTCAGTTTGCGACCTGGTTAACTTTCAACTCGGAATTTGCGGATATTCAACATAGACTACAGGTACAGTCGACAACATAGACTGCATCTTTGTTGCAAATTCGCACCTATTACAATCTGCTAAGATGCCTGTGTTCAGTTTTTTTGATCTAAGACGCTTCTAACATGTAGATGGGGGAGTTGCCTTATGAAGCCTATCCAATAGGCTGTTTTTTGCAGCTTCTATATTTTTAACGTTGCCATCTCTAAATTAAATATTTTTCAAATCAGACTTACATCTTTGTGACTTTGTGGCAAATTCGCATCTATTACAATCATCTTAGGTGCCATAATGTTCAGTTTCATATGCCGTTTTTGGTACCTAACACGCTTCTAACATTTAGCTGGGGACTTGCTTAGCCTCACCAATAGGCACTTTAATTTATACCCTTGTCGCAGCTTCTTTATTTTAGGGTTGCCGTCTCCAAATTTTAAAATATTTTACATCTGGTATCTACTATCTAACTGGACGCACTATAAGATCAAAAACAGGTCAACTATAATGCACACTGACAGTCGGCCAATAACAAAAAAAATTGTTAGAGCTTTCAATTAAATCTTGCCGTTAGCTTTTTCTTTCTTTTATGGCCTTGTCACAGTATTAAGAAAAGGTTAGGCAAAAGTTTAAAAATTAAGCTCTGTAATACCTAGTCACCTTGTAATTAATTTAATTTTAGCTATTGCAAATAATATGTTTTTTCGATTATAATTAATAGTAAAAATTTATGTATGATGAATAGACAGATTGTCTAAGTCAACAAGTTTTGTGAGCTGTTTTATTTCAAGTGTTATCTGATTACAATAAACAAATTGAATAGCTGTAGGTGCTAAGATTATGACGTATAGCCACCTGACGCTGTCACGTATACATTCTTGTTCATTAGGTGTAATAAAATGGTGTTTATCTACATCGTAAATGTTGTATATTTCCTCGGAAACGCGTGACTGTCTGCTAATGATAACTTTTTTTGGGATCATATTATAATTGTCGTTTAATAATTATTATTAAACGACAAAAGAGACAATAATAAGAAATCATCATGCAATTTATTACTCTTATAATACCTAATCACAGAAGAAGAGAAGATTAGTCTTGAACTTGTGGACTAAATTTATTAATGTTTTTGTTACAGAGGTGACGCAGCTAGAAGACCCGAGGCTAGAATGGCTCAGCATCCAGGAGGCCATGTTGAGGGACTACCTCCACACGGCCCAAGAGGCGCTGGAGGTGAGTGTTTGAATCATACTTAAATAAATACTAGTTAAACTAGTTTAGATTATCTCTCCAAAGAGAACAATGGACTGACGGTAAAAGGTTTGAGGGCATGAATGCCTGCCTTAAAATAAGGGACCTAAGACTAGAATCTAAACAACAAAATTTGTAAATTGATAAAATTTTGACTACATAGGTGTATTAAGAGATCTAACTAGAAAAAGAAGTGTATTCACTTGTGAATTCCACCAGTATGAGCAAATTGCAAATCTATAAAAAAGACAGATCACAAATACCCCTAGAGTGTAATCAGTGTAATATTAAACCGTTCCTACGTAAAGATAAATGTTCATGTTAATAGGCCTATTAATTGAATAAATAGCTGGACTATAACTACACACAAAGTATTACTATCGCCAATCGTTAAGAGCTGACAAATTATTACGTGGCTTTCCAACGATTACGTGTACGGCCACTGTATGTCTCCGATAGTGTCGAAGAGGCCTATGCTTCACAGGTCGTAGCAATTTCCGTTTCTAATAACACATCTTATCCCCTAGGTCACGATCTCATGGGAAACCCTCAATATGATAATGTTTTCTAACGTCATTAGCAGTGTAGACGTATCTAATTTCAGTAATATGCCTTTGACCGTTAAATTGTGCTTCTAAATTACACTCACCATTACCGATCGGTTAGATATTACTTCCTAAGTTCCATTCATTATTGTAATGACTAAATTTAGCATCTTCATTAACTTTAGTAGCTATACTAATTTCAGTACCAGCCACATGATTCTGACCCTTATAAGTTGCTTTCAAATCAAATTCAAGTCCACTTATCGGGCCCATCTGATTTCTAATACAAAATTTCAACTGTTCAACTTCGTGGCTACCAATAATCATTTTGATCTTTTATCATCTAATCGCCAAATTAAAAAGGCACCTCCAAACTATTGTTACGGACTTAAAACCATCAGCGTGGCTTCTGACTTGTTCATTATGACTCGGTTTAATAAATTGAAGGCAACTCAAGTTGGTAGCAAGATAACATCGCCACTGATGGGTTCATTCTGATTCTACTTTTGTTATATGTCACAGTCGAGATAGTGTTGCTTGCTTATTGTAGCCACTTTGTAGTTCGGTGGGAACGAAATTTTAGTAGCAGTGTTGTTGTTGTTTATGTTTTTATTTGGATCCCTAAATTGTACTTAGTTACCACAAATCTGGCTTTGATCAATACCAAATGTTATTATTTATTAACTGAGCATAACTTACGTAACGTTTAGATTTTACTCATAAAGTTACTCCACAGGAGTTTTTAACAATGAAAATGGCATCACATAAAGTTACTGGTGAACACAACAATGCATTTTACTGCCTCGAAATCTAAACTGAGGTTCCTCAATTAGAGAGCGATATTATCAAATTAAACAGCAATTTTATCTATAATTAATGTACTCAAAAGCACATTAAATGATCAGCGGGCTTCTACCAGATAACAGAGGAATGCGATGGACCGATAGCACCAGATAAGAGATAGTGCGAAGTGGCAAGTAGTATTGTTTGGATGGGGCATACGATGGGAAATTTACGATCAGAAATAAGGGCACTCTGGTTTTTAGAAAGTGGGAAAGATAGCCATGTTATTAAAGACATCGTAAAGACTAAACTATGTTATTATTTCTTTATCTTCTCATATTGGAACAACGAAGTTGAAAACAGTGACGTATTTCTAGTTATCTTTGCTACAAAGTTTCTTTCGGAAAGATAATGAAAATACAACTAATTATTATAATTTTCAGGATTTTCCCTTGTTTAAAATAACACAAATGGGAGTTGATACTGTACGCACCGTTATTCTTATCAATTAATGAACAATTACTCAATATCTCTGATCCTTCTCCAAAAGGTCGGATCATTAGCAAACTTAGTTGCAAAGAACAAGTCCCTTACTGAAACTTATAGCGCTGATAACCTTGACGGAACCCAGTATTAATTAACAAAGAGATACATTCAATAAAGTTTAGAATTTGTTGCCTGAGATAAGAGGAAGGGCGAGGTATCATTGATGATACAATGCTAAAGGTGATGATTGAGGAAACTGATTGTAAACAAATTGAAGGAAAGTTAAATACTGTAGAAGTCCTTGTGTGAATTTGCATTATTCTACGCATTTTATGTCCAGTTTATCTTATTTTGTCAGTGAGGTGGTGATCTTGACAATTATCCATTCACAACAACGTCTTACTCATAACTTAGGTGGCCTTCAAATTTTGAAGACATCATAAGAATTCCCATGTTGTGTGACCAAATGTGTAACGTCCCCCGGATTCTCTGTACACCGATGGTTTACAAACAACTCACGTCCACATTTGCACTCCGTGAGAATACCGTTATCACATTGTATCTTATTTAACCATGAAGACATACGTGATCGAGTTAATACAACGCACTAAGTATCAGATTTGAGACACGCGGGAATTCGTGATAATCGCAAAAGGGATTTGACAATGGAAAGGTCATAATGTCGGGAAGTGCCCTACTGACCCTACGTCTGTTTCGATGACTGACATCATAATGCGTAGAGGGTTTCACACACATGTTATTGTTAGTCGGATTTTGACTGTCATTACAAGTGTGATTGCCAGTCAAAACATTGTTGGGTTGAAAGTTGATAAAAATATGCATCACAGTAATCGTAACGGCCTCGAAGTAAAGAATTTATCCTTATGCAAGAAAGTACGAGTAAGTTCAGGAAAATTGGACTCAAAAATATTTAGTTTGGAACTTTTTATTAAGGAATTGGTTGTAGTAAGGTGGAGACTAACATTTGGCAAAAGCTTCTGAAGCTGTTTGAAATAGTCAAATACAATCCGATAAACCCTTACATGCCCTAAATAGATCATAGTTTTGTTTTGCTGACTTATTACCTCATTGACATGCGATTGGAGTCATCTGATAACCTTCAGCCGGGTATTGACGTCAGTAATCGATAAAGCATCGAACGTAAACAAAAAGATACATTAGATCGATCAATTACCCACAATCGATGATGAACTGCGACCCCATAGACGCAAATCTATGTAATTGAAATCTTCCATTAGATAGCTCACCTTGAACTTAGAAGTTGGAGATTAGACAGTGATTTATCTTCTGTAAACTTACGTCACAAAATAGCTATTTAACCTCAATGACACTTGGTGTTAAATATAATAAATAAGTCTAGTTAACTCTGGGGCATCTTAGGTTGTTGCAAAAAGTCCTATTTTCCAACAAAAATGTATTGTCCAATAAATTCGGGACTATTCCCATCTCTCGTTCCCACCGCTGGAACTTCTGTGTAGCCAGAATCTACTGCTTGACCGCCAATGATAACCCAACCAGTGATGGTCAAGTTTGTCCCGGGGGAATGTTAAACTGTCATTGGACCCGAAACGAAATTGTCCAATATTCTTCATACATATTAAGTTTGAATCTTCAAAATATTGCTTTAAAAAGCGACTCCTACTAAGTTTACCTCCGACTAATTTGTTTTACCGGAAGAGCCGTTCGTGCCGATGTCTCTACATAATAATGCTTGATGTACGGTTATTTTATGTAGGTTTATGTGAATCATTCTATGCCAATATTGGTTGAAAACAAATGGAGAGTACAGCGTAGGATGTAGATTTCTCGCTTATTTGGAGCTTTAGGCTACCGTGTGATAGTGTCTTTAGTTTCACCTTTCACACCAAAATTATAGGTAGCCATAAGAAAAAAAATGTTAGTAGTAGGTCTCAGATTTTTAAATAAAATTATAGAATTGTCAACGAATTACGTAATGTCTCTCTCATAATCTTGTTTACATTCCAACAAAATTGCAATTAAGTACTATATTTTTTATCGCTCAATGATAATACAAGGAAACTTCCATTTTATGCACACGGAATTTAAATAAAATTCCACAATTAAATTGCGTAGAAAATTTCGCTCGGGGGTCGATGAGTCAATCGCTCGATAAGCTTCCGAGTAGCGATGGTTCTGCGAATAGACGCCCGCTGGTCTGTGCGGGCGCCGAATTATAGAGTTTCCTAGGAAATTTCTAATTTTATTGCATACCTCTGGGTAGTAGTGCAGGGATTTGACCATTTTCCTTAGGTGAGAGAAAAAGGAGTTGATTGAGGGCTATCGTTTTGGCTGGCGACTGAAATGACCCTACTCTACAATGTCGCCATCCTGGTGATGCACTATTGCACTCAGCGATAGTCCCGCGGTACTACCGCTTCATCATTTACCATTTGGCACCACTGCACTGTCTTCGCCACTAGCAAGTGACAGTGACCTTAGTCTACAGTGGCGCCAACTGGTGAACACTAAAAGGATTGAAATGGCAGAGTAATAGAAATTCGTTAGCCTCTAGTAATTTAACTGTAACATTATATTTAGGCATTAAATTTAGACACAGCCGATAAATGACAGACAGTAGTCGTGTACGCAACCAAAAATGGCCAACATTTTGCTAACAATGATAATAATTAATGGCTTAGTAGAGCTTGTACTGTAACTTTAATGATTGATTACAGCGGTTAATAATAGTTAATAATAACAATGAAGTAATTAATTACATCATTGAAACTTAACGTTCAATAATTCCTAGAACAAGAACCAAAACAAGACAGTGTACCTATTGACAATAGATCTTAATGTATAATCGATTTTTTGTAGCTTGTAGTAAGTAGCATTTAGTGTGAGTCATGATTCATAGTTATAACTATAATTGATAAATTAGCATTCCCTCGTTATGTAATACATTAGTATTAGTTAGGTACTTAGAACATAATTTATTTCGATTAGACGCAATAACAATAACAAAACTTTTAGACTTATCTACGCTACACAAATTTTATGCTAAATTTAATCTTTGAATTATTTATATGTCTATAAATCTAGCTATTGTGTGATTTATTGTTAATACTAGTCCAAGACAAGACAGACAATAATAATAATATGAGTATTGAATTTAATAATACTCGTAATGCCGAAGTACAGTGCAAACACTATACATATAACTACACTTAAGGGACTGAGCATTTGTCGACGTTATAGAGAATGGCCATTAAATAGACTGACACGGATAGAAAATAATATAAACCAACAGAAAGGTCGACGTTAAAAGGAGCTTTTCGTTAAATCGAGTGAGGTTCACACTGTACGAGTATATTCAAAGTTTCAGTGCCATGCGAGTCGTGCGTGCATAAATGAAGATCCCACTGTACCATTAACAACGTTTGAACTACCACCCACATCTAATAAATTGCTATACACCGAAGTAACAGCATCTATTAGCATTATCTTGCTAAATTAGATACTAAAAGCATTATGGATATTATGAAGTACGCACATTCTCTCCACGATATGGAAATTCTTGTACAGGCATCTCCACAAGTATGTGTAATATCTTCTAATGAATTTATAATAGAAAGGACTAGATGGCGCTATGTGGTTATAGAATTTTTCATGTAGGACCAACTAGTCCCAAACTGAGTAAAGCTCTATTTGCACCAGACATAAGGATATCAAAGACTGCATAATATTCTCTACTACAGCGGTTTTTATGTCTTGACCAGTGGAGTCTCACCCAAACAGACAATTTTATACACAACCACAAACTTTAGATAAGTAGAAAACAA